CCTCAGCCTCCCAAGTAGCTGGGACCACAGGCGCCCGTCACAACGCCTGGCCATTTTTTGGTTGCAGCCATCATTGTTGTTTGGTGGGCCGGGGCTGGGGATTTGAACCCGCCACCTTAGGTGTATGTGGCTGGCGCCTTAGCTGCTTGAACCACAGGCGCCGAGCCCATTGTGATTAATTTCAAAAGCATCCCAGCATTTCCTATTTTCCCTCCTTAATTTATCTCTTTAGGCTCTATCGTCTTCCAAAATACTATATATTACTCTTTTTTTTTTTTTGAGACAGAGTCTCATTTTATCGTCCTTGATAGAGTGCTGTGGCGTCACAGCTCACAGCAACCTTTAGCTCTTGGGCTTAGGCAATTTTCTTGCCTCAGCCTCTTGAGTAGCTGGGACTACAGGTGCCTGCCACAATGCCCAGCTATTTTTTGTTGCATTTATCTGGGGCCAGATTTGAACCTGCCACCCTCAGTGTATGGTGCCAGCATCCTACCCACTGAGCCACAGGCACCACCCTATGTATTACTCATTTTTAAGATTTCTCTCTTGGGTGCTGCCCTATGTATTACTCATTTTTAAAATTTCTCTCTTGGGTGGCATCTGTGGCTCAGTGAGTAGGGCACCAGCCCCATATACTGAGGGTGTTGGGTTCAAACCCGGCCCTGGCCAAACTACAACAAAAAATAGCCAGGCATTGTGGTGGGCTCCTGTAGTCCCCGCTACTTGGGAGGCTGAGGCAAGAGAATCACCTAAGCCCAAGAGCTGGAGGTTGTTGTGAGCTGTGACACCACGGCACTCTACTGAGGGTGACAAAATGAGACTGTCTAAAAAAAAAAAATTCTCTCCATTCACAAATATTAAAATGTGAGGTCCAAGAGGGCAGGATTTTTGTCCTTTTGTTCACTGCTATATTCTCAGTGTCTAGTTTTGTGCCATACACACAGTAGGTGCTAAGTAAGTATTTGGTGGAATAAGTATTCCAGTGAAAACTTCTGGAATTTACTAGGGAGTCGATGAGTATCCATTTCCCTTCTAGGTCCAGGGATGCTTATTATTCCTCGGAGCTCATGTTCTTCAGTTAACTATAGATGAGATTATATATTTCACAAGTCCCATGTGTATGTTCTTTTTATACTTTCTTGGTCTCAACTGAAACACTCTTTTTTCCCCTGTGAAAAAATCTATACATTTGGCCAGGGGTGGTGGTATGTGGCGATAGTCTTACCTGTTTGGGATGCTGAGGGGGGAGGATTGCTTGAGGCCAGGAGTTTGAGGTTGTAGTGAGCTATGATTGTGCCTGAGAATAGTCACTACCCTTCTAGCCTGGGCAACTGAGAAAAACCCAATCTCTTAAATACTATATTTTGCTGTGTGTAATGCTGTCCCATGTATAATGCACACCCATGTTTTTGGCCTAAGCTATCAGGAAAAAGCTTTAATTTTAATTTTTTTTTTTTTTTTTGAGACACAGTCTCACTATGTTGCCCTTGGTAGAGTGCTATGAGCTGTGATGTCAACCTCTAGCTCTTGGGCTTAGGCGATTCTCTGGCCTCAGCCTTCTGAGTAGCTGCAACTACAGACGCCCATCACAATGCCCTGCTATTTTTTGTTGTTGTTGCAATTTGGCTGGGGCTGGGTTTGAACCCACCACCCTTGGTGTATGGGGCCAGCGCCCTACTGACTGAGCCACAGGCACTACCCCAATGCCCAGCTATTTTTAGAGACGGGGGTCTCACTCTTGCTCAGGCTGGTCTTGAACCTGTGAACTCATGCAATCCACCTGCCTTGGCCTCCCAGAGTGCTAGGATTACAGGCATGAGCCACCATGCCCAGCCCTCTTTTATTCTTTTCAAAAACCAATAACTCTAATCAAATCATGAGAAAAACACCAGAAAACTCAATTCGAGGGTACCAGTCTACAAAATACTGCTCAAAACTTTCAAAATCATGACAACAAAATGCAATGTGGTGTCCTGGATTGGATTCTGGAACAGAAAAGGACATTAATGGAACAACTCGTAAAATTCAGTTTAGACTCATAGCATATAACTCAATATTAGGCCAACCTAACCAGAAACAGAAAAGTAAAATCTCTAATATTATCTATCAGAAACGATAAAGGATGGGGCGGCACCTGTGGCTCAAAGGAGTAGGGCACTGGCCCCACATGCCGGAGGTGGTGGGTTCAAACCCAGCCCCGGCCAAAAACTGCAAAAAACAAAACAAACAAACAAACAAAAAAGAAACCCCCAAAAAACTTTAAAGGAGAAATAACAGATACCTCAGAAATTCAAAAAATCCTCAATGATTACTACAAAAATCTCTTCCCAGAAAGATGTGAAGGAAATGAACCAATACCTGGAAGCATGCTACCTTCCTAGACTCAACCAGAAAATAGAAATCTCAAACTGACTTATATCAATCACTGAAATAGCATCAGCACTACAAAATCTCCCAAAAAAGAAAAGTCCAGGACCAGATGGCTTCACATCCGAATTCTATCAAACCTTTCAAGAGGAACTAGTACCTATATTAGAACCTTTTCCAAAGCATAGAAAAAGAACAACAGGCTCGGGGCCTATAGCTCAACCGGCTAAGGCGCCAGCCATGTACACCTAAGGTTGCAGGTTCGAATCCCCAGCCCGGACCCGCCAAAACAACAATGACGGCTGCAACCAAAAAATAGCCGGGCGTTGTGGCGGGCACCTGTGGTCCCAGCTACTTGGGAGGCGGAGGCAGGAGACTCGCTTGAGCCCAGGAGTTGGAGGTTGCTGTGAGCTGTAATGCCATGGCACTCTACCCAGGGGGACAGCTTGAGGCTCTGTCTCAAAAAAAAAAAAAAAAAAGAAAAAGAAAAAGAACAGCACAGCAAATATCACCCTGATCCCTAAACTAGGAAAGGATTCAACAAAGAAAGAAAATTATAGACCAATATCATTAATGAATATTGATGCAAAAATACTCAGTAAGATCTTAGCAAACAGAATTCAACAACACATCAAAAATATTATGTATCATGATCAAGTTGGTTTTAGTCCAGGGTTACAAATTTGGTTCAACATAGACAAATCTATAAATAAAATATATCACATCAATAACATAAAAAACAGACCATATGATTCTCTCAATTGACACAGAAAAAGCCTTTGATAATATCCAGCATCTTTTCATGATCAGAACATTTAAGAAAATAGGCACAGAAGGGACATTTCTTAAACTGATAGAGGTCATCTACAGCAAACCCACAGCCAATATCATATTGAATGGTGTAAAATTGAAAACATTTCCACTCAGATCAGGAACAAGGCAAGGATGCCCACTGTCTTCACTGCTGTTCAACACAGTAACAGAAGTCTTAGCCATCACAATCAGGCAAGAGAAGGCAATCAAGTGTATCCAAATAGGATCAGAGGAGATCAAATGCTCACTCTTCACTGATGATATGATACTATACCTGGAAAATCCCAGAGACTCAACTTCAAAACTTAGAAGTGATCAAGGAATACAGCAGCACCTCAGGATACAAAATCAATACTTGCAAATCAGTAGCTTTTATATATGCCAACAATAGTTGAGCTGAAAATATAGTCAAGGACTCTATTCCTTTTACAGTAGTATTAAAGAAGATGAAATATCTGGGAATTTACCTAACAAAATATGTGAAAGATTTCTATAAGGAGAACTATGAAACTCAGAAAAGAAATAGCTGGGCAGCACCTGTGGCTCAGTGAGTAGGGTGCCAGCCCCATATACCAAAAGTGATGGACTCAAACCCGACCAAATTGCAAACAAAAATAGCCAGGTGTTGTGGTGGGTGCCTGTAGACCCAGCTACTCAGGAGGCTGAGGCAAGAGAATCACGTAAGTCCAAGAGATTCAGGTTGCTATGAGCTGTGATGCTATGGCACTCTACTGAGAGCAACAAAGTGAGACTCTGTCTCTAAAAAAAAATAAAAAGAAAAAGAAATAGCTGAAGATGTTCACAAATGGAAAAACATACCATGCTCATGGCTGGGAAGAATCAATATTGTTATAATGTCCATACTACCCAAAGCAATCTACAGATTTAATGCAATCCCTATTAAAGCACCATTGTCATACTTTAAAGAACTTGATAAAATAGTACTTCGTTTTATATAGAATCAGAAAAAACCTCAAATAGCAAATACATTACTAAGAAATAAGAACAAATCAGGAAGTATCACATTACCAGACTTCAGGCTATACTATAAATCTATAGTGATCAAAACAGCATGGTACTGGCACAAAAACTAAAGGTAGATTAATGGAACAGAATAGAGAACCAAGAGATGAATCAAGCTACTTATCATCATTTGATCTTCAACAAGCTTATCAAAATTTTTAGTGGGGTGCTTGCTTAGGCAGCACATACACTAAAAATTGGAATGATACAGAGAAGATTAGCATGGCCCCTGTGCAAGGATGACATGCAAATTCATGAAGCATTCCATATTTTTTTGACCAGTTTGATGAAAGCATTTCAGATTGTGTGTAAAACCAGCACATTGTACCCCATGAGTGCATTAATGCACACAGCTATGATTTAATAAAAAACAAATATTAAGTGGGTTTTTTTTTTTTTTTTT